TCACTTTCCAGTTCAACCAGATCATCCAGTCAGATTGATTCAAAGTTTTCTATCTAAGGAAAACCAGCTGATTGCATCGAGTCCGGATTCCTAACAACACCCTAGTCTTTGCCTGCCTGTTTCCGTTCTTATCTGTTTGCCTGACCTGTCTTTGGCCTCCTGCTCGATTCTGCCTGTTGAACAAACCTGGATCTGCTTCTTGACATCGACCTTAATTTCCGTTCAGTAAGCCTTCGGATCTCTGATCATCTGGCCCAGACTCCTGTGAACCTCATAAACACTGGTGTTGACTTTGCCTTCGGGATTATCCCCCCTTCCTTCATCCGTTTGGATCTGATCTCCTTCCAGTTCTGCAGTTTTCAAGGCTTCAGTATCTGGGACTCTCTAGGCAGTGTTCGCCGCATGGTGTCGGCAGCCATTCGCTGGAATCCACCTCTTCTTCTGGGCACAGACTGAACTTCAAAGCCAGAGGTTTCTGTCTTTGACATCCTTGCTCTTAGCTGCAGATCCTGTTTTTAATAAAAGCCTTTTTTAGAAATTTGTCTGCCTTCATTAGCGGGATCCTCTGTTCTGAGCCTTGAAAGGAGCAAAGCCAAAGAACAAACAATCCAACCCAGATTTAAATAAATAAATAAAAATAAATACTTCTAACAGGATGAACACCACATCTAGATGATAAAACCTGACCAAAACTTCAGAGAAGCACGTCTTCTACTTCAACTATCAACAGGTGCAACAAAACAAAACTAAGAATAAGGAAAGACTCACTGAGATTAGTAACCAATCAGCTGACTGAGAATCTTCATCAGCAGATACTTAGACTTAGACAGATTTTATTTGTCATTTTGTTTTACACAAGTATAAAACAAAAATAAATTTTGTTTGGAATATCTCTGGACAATTTCATCTCATTTAAAAGTTAGTTAGGTCCTTTTTAGGACCCTGAATACCTTGACTGCAGCTTTTTGATTCAGGTGTGTTGCAAGACCAAAATATCTAAAGGTGGCAGGAAAGTTGGGTTAATGTAGCTGAAAGATTGAAATTTCAACTAAAACGATTTTGTCTTCTTTTTTAGATGATGCATTCCTACTGATGGGCCTGAACATAGCAGACCTTTACCCCGACACTATCCGCTACATCACCTACGAGGGCTCCATAACGGTCCCTCCCTGCTATGAGACCTCCACTTGGATCATCATCAACAAGCCAGTTTATGTGACACAGATGCAGGTAGGATTAACGTCTTCAGGTCAGGACAGATAAACATCTAAGAATCAAATGAGCAGCATAAGATTCTGTTGCTGAAACCCTAAAGAAATTATGAACTGAACCGGTAACAAATTTTAAGCCAAAATAAGGCTTTGTTTTTGGTCCACTCTAAAAAGCCTTGAACTAAATGCTTTTTCTGACATTTTTTTATTGAAAAAGCTTCCTGGATGGGAAGCAAAAGGTCTTTAGACTATGACGTGGATGACTTAGAATCTTCACCAGCAACGTTACAGATTGAACTAACAAATACTGCAGAATGGGAGAATAGAGATGAGAAGGGTCCCTTTGTCCTCCAGCATTCTAAGCCTATAGCAACATACTGTAACTATAGAGATAGCTCAGGATTTGGGTCGTTGACAAGACACTGTCTGGATGGAGTAAAGAGTGGGTAACAGTAGAGAAGCTGCAGAGAGGTCTGTTAAACTAGGACTCTGCTTCCTGGTCTGCACCCTGGGGGGTCAGGGTTTTGGAGGACTAATAAATGTGGCCAGATTCCTAGAAAGAAGAGCTGCACCATCCAAAGTGGGATGGATGCCGTCTCTCCGAATCAGACCAGGCTTTCCCCAAAAGGATTGCCAATTATTAATGTAGCCCAGGTTGTTTTCAGGACACCACCTAGACAACCAGCGGTTGAATGACGACTGGTCAGATCAGGGAGGGACCAGAGAAAATTACCGAGTCCCACATTGTTTTGGCAAACTTACACAACGAAGCAACACTAATTTAAATGACCTTGGATCAGTGTGTTGAGGAGAACGGGCCCCCAGGTGCTTAAAACATCAGCACTCCAAATACGGATGACTTTAGTACGGCAGAAATAACAGAATCATTATCACACCTTTTTTTTAAATGGTTGCCTCTGATCCAAGCCTGTTCTGTGGTCCTGTAGGTGTTACCCAAGACGTCTATGCAACGATAGATAGTTCAGTCTGATAGGAATGACATGAGGCTTTCAGCAGGTCTTGTAGCCAATAATCACAACTCTACCGCGTCTATTTGAAGGTTCTCATCTGTATTTTCTTCATAATTTCCTAAATTTATTAATAGTTTTTCTACAAATTTAAGGAAATTTGTGTTTTTTTCTGGGACCCATTTGTTAGTTAGTTCATCTCTAGTGGTATATCGTCCAGGAGCTGCTGTAAACTCTCACCTGTACAATGTCTGCAGACAAAACAAACTGGCATAGATGTGAAACTTAACATGTCTTTTATGTAGAGAATAAACATTATTGTCCCAATAAAGACACCTGGAGGACACCATAAGCAATGTCCAGCCATTCAACTTTGTCATGCGAGCCTCTGCCGATTATCTCTATTCATTACATTCATGCCAAAGATTGGAACTATTTGTGATCTACATCCATACTGACTTTCAGAAATCAGTTTATTTTTATCATTAAAGTTCTCCAATCTACTAGTAAAATAAAATAAAAATCTTGAATCTTGGAAACCTGTGGAAGTAGAGAAACAGGCTTATAGTTTTTACAGTTATTTTCCTTTTGTTGAAGCTAAAACCAGCAGGTTATATTTAATCATAGACTAAACATTCCCTCACATCTCAGTTTACTGTTAATCTGTGAATAAAAATCAATGGAAGTTTCTTCTTTGAGGTGTTTCTGTGGTTTGGAGGTAGAGTGCATGACCCAGCTGTCACAGGTTCGAGTCCTCGTCCTGCTGACCTTTGCTGAATGTCTCTCCCCTCTCATGTCTGCATTCTTTCAAATATTGCAGAATAAAGGCCATTAGAGAAAACTAAGAACATTCCTTCCTCCTGTTGAGAACCTCACCCTTTCAGCACCTTGTTTGTCTCCCTTTTTGATGCCAAATTGTCTGATGCTGGTGTTTCCAGGTTGCTTGGTTTGCCATTCGAACTGTAAGCCTCTGGCAGCCAGTCACAGGATGCTTCAATGGGGAGAATTCAGTGACTGACATCATCAATGGCCTTGACTTGGCTGTCCATTCGATGGGCGTAAAGGAGGCTTTGATTGCGATAAATTTACATTTCAGTCAATCCTTTTGTTCTCTCTCTGCTCTGAATATTTTACTCTAAACTTCTTATCTTTTAGGCAAAAACAGTAATAAAAGTTGGACTAAACTACTTTAAAGGCACAAAGTTTAACTTTTGGCCATTAGGGGCGCTATACATGTAACTTTCATATCTAAATCCCTTAATAGCCACAAGCTCTCCAGTACGGCTGCAATAGTCAACAGTAAGCCAGCCAGCCTCCATGTCTTTATATTGGGGGCGGCGCCAGGCGTCTAGGTTCAGCTTGGAGGGTTAAAAACACTGCTGTACTCTGGAGAGCTCCGGTGGGACAGGCTGGACGGCCGTTACAGGCCGCGCCGCGTGGAGGACCGGAGGCAGAGCTCCAGTGTAGGGCCAGGGGGCGTTCGTCCAGGTCACATGACTTGGCCAACCACGGTACGTTTTCTCCCAACTTGCAACGGTGGTTTTTAAGGAAAGGAGCCATTGATAGTGTCAGTGCTGCATATTGACATGTGTTCTGAATTAGCGCTATAGATATACACTGAATTAAATTGAACTTTATTTTTCTATTTTGAAGTTTTAAAATTCCTTTTTTAAAATAAAAACTGTGTAATTTAGTCCTTGTTTCTAGCACACTTTCTAAATTGTACTTAATGGTGATTAATGTCATTAACTGGTTAATCTTCAATCTGTTCCCACAGATGCACTCTCTGCGCCTTCTCAGCCAGAATGAGCCGTATAAGATCTTTCTGAGTATGAGCGACAACACGCGGCCCGCGCAGCCTTTGCTGCAGCGCTGCATTCGGACCAACATTAACTTCAACAAGCAGGGCCGTGACTGCCCCAACAACCGTGCCCTCCGCCCGCAGTACAGAGGTAACCTGACTGGTAGATCAAACCTTACAAATAATCTGCAGTTTCTCACAAAGTCTCCAGATCGCTATAAAAAGTTCAGATTGTTAAATATTCTATAGTTAATAGAAAAAACACACTAGTGTTAAACTAAAACCAACGAGACAGTGAAGGTTCTGAACTCTGCTGCTCTTACAGTATTAATCTGCCTTTTATAATTATGCGTCTTTACTTTTCCAACCTAAAAGAAAATCTCATCCTTCATTTTACTAAATGAACAAAAATAGATCTGAGATTTAAATTATTACACGACAGTCACATATAATAACATTTCTTAAAGATGTTAACGGAGTCGATTATACTTTGTTGTCATTTTGATGTTTACTGATTAACACGGATTTCACTCGAAAGGACTTCTGCAAAAACAAGTCTGATTTAATGACTTTATTGTCTGAATAAAATGAAAAAGGAGAAATGGGAAGAAAAGGGGATGATGGGTCGAAAGCAGGAAGAGGAGAAAATGGAAGGCAGGAAGCTCTCTGGGTGGGGGTCTGATCTAAATGAGCTGCTTGGTATAAACTATAGATGATCATCCAATCCGGTTCTATCCAGTTCCCAGCATCCATATGGTCGTCTCATACCCGTGGCTGCCAGGCAATCAGCACCAAGGTATCCCCCCCTCCTGTAGGCTGAGTATGGCCCACCAGCCACCCGAGCCCAGGTGCCACACCCCCCTCAGTGTCCCCCCACCTGACTGCAGGCATAGGCAACACACTTGGTCAGGGCAGTAAGGCAGATCCACACCACAGGTGACTGTTTCCCACCTGCTGTACTGTTGGACTCCTGTATATTTAAAACCATGGGGAGGATAGGTTTTAAATAAACTGCTTTCCCCCCCTACTAAACCCGCCAGGCCGCCTCCTCCCCCCCACATGGGGAAGTCTAACCCACGCCTGCATTCAGCCAGCTTTCAGAACACTAAGACAAGGACACATACTCCCCTTCCCCAGCCTCCCTCCACCCCCCTACTTTGTCTCCTCTAGGGGGCAGTACCTGCAGGATAATGTAAATACCAATGGCCCCAGTGCCAGCATGGGCGTCAACAGACCCCAGAGCAACTTAGGCACCACAGCAGGCA